CCCATCAAGAAAGAAACCCATCGTCAATCTACTCAAAGTTTTCTTATCATTCTCTTATATATGCTGTGGGTATTACTGAACTTGACATTTTGTAATATGTCAGAATACCATGGTTTCCAATTAACTTCTTATTCAACATTTGAACAGTGAGTTGATTTCTCTCACAAGCATAACTTGATGGGTTAGATTTCACATTTTCATTTAGCTTGAACATTATCGTTAATGTAGCTAAAGCATCAGCTATCTAATTTTCTTCTTAGGGTAAAGGATGAAACCAAATATTTTTAAATTTTTTGATCAATTCTTATATGTACTTTTAGTATAGAACTATTTTTGAATCTTTGGTTTCCCATTCTCCTCACAACTGGTATATGACCAAGATAAGGTCTTTATAAACTTTCAATGTATGGATATTCTTTTCAAGAGCAGCTTGAATACCCATAACACATGCTTCATATTCTGTCACATTATTGGTATAATCAAAACTTAGTTTTACAGTGATTAAGTAGTAATATCTTTTTGGAGATACCAAAACTATTCCTATAACATGCCTTAAAGCATTTGATGTGCCATCAAAATACATCTTCATTAGACTCTTTTTCATTTATGTGCAATACAGACATTATGTCTTTATCCAAAAAATCGAATGTTATAAGCACATAATTTTTCTAAGCGTATTCTCTAAGAAATTCAGTAATAGCACTTCCTTTGATTATCTTTTAGGATACGTACGTAATGTCATATTCAAAAAGTAGCATTTGCCATCTTGCTATTCTTTTCGTTAATAAAAGCTTTTTAAAAATATATTTGATTGGATCCAGTTTCACAATAAGCCAAGTGGTATGATACAACATGTACTGTCTAAGTTGACGAGCTATCCAAGCTAGTGCATAATACTTCTTTTCGAAAGTTGAATACTTGGACTCATAGTTGGTGAACTTTTTTGTCAGGTAGTAGATGGCTTGTTCTTTCTTTCTTGTTTCATCATATTGCCCCAAAATGCATCCTATTGATTTTTCATACACCATTAAATATAAATAAGAGGTCTTACAGGAATAAATGACATTAATACTAATAGGTTTGATAAGTATGTTTTAACTTTTTCAAAAGTCATTTGATAATTTTTATCCCATTCTCCTAACTCGTGCTTTCGAAAAATCTTGAATATGGGGTCACATTTGACTATAAGTTAGGAAATGAAATGAGTGATATAATTCAACCTCTCTAAAAATTCTCTTACTTCTTTTTGCATACGTGGAGGTGATGGCTCTTGGATGGCACGTATCTTATCTAGATCTATCTAAATTCCTTTTTAATGTTGAAAAAAAATGGCTGTAATGATGGACATGATAAGAAAAATTACCAAAGGAAAATGGGTAGTTAAAGAAGTGACTGTTGAAAAAGAGCCTTAAGCCCAAGAAAACACCAATGGCAAAGAAAATCCATTATATCCACCATGGCTTACTCCACTCTATGCTTAAACTTTTCATCAAATGCATCCATAAATAACACAGCTTGAAAGGCAATCACATGCTCAATTTAATTTACCTTTTTTCATGGTTCAATCATAGAGTTAAGGACACATTGGTCTAAACATTGGGGCAAGTCATGTTGATCCTATTATGGTCCCAGAGTTAGATGATCCAAGAGAATAGGAAAACTGAAGCACCACACGTCCGAGTAATATGAGAATATAAAGGCGTAGCAAAAATTAGATCTATTGGAAGAAAGACTGTGAGCTGTTATAGATGTGAATATTTTTGACATAATTGATGTGAGTGAATTCAGTTTGGTTTTAGATCTGGTAATTTCACTAAAGTTTAAGATACTAGAATTTAAAAAATATGATGAAACCAAATGCCTCATGGCACATATCAATATATTTTGTCAAAAAATGACCAAGCATACAAACAATGACAAGCTGTTTATCCATTTTTTTATGATAGTCTTACCAGATTAGTTGCTATATGATATATTTAATTAGATAGGAGTCATATTCATTCATTAAAAGATCTAACCAAAAAATTTATTACTCAATACAAGCATTTCCCAAATATGGCCCCAAATAGATTATCTTTACAAAACATGAAAAAAAAAGGCTAATGAAAACTTTAAAAATATGCCCAAAGATGGTGAGATATTGCTGCCTAAGTTTAGCCCCTTCTCATTGAAAAAAATAACTATTTTGTTTATCAATTCCCTTCGAGCCTTGTATTATGATAGGCTCATTGATCATGCCATGAAAAACTTTGCTGATATAATGATCACAGGTGAGATAATAAAAATTGCTATTAAGAATAGAAAGATTGAAGGGGATGATGTTTCTGGATCAAAGAAAGGAGGATCACCTAAGAAGAAATAAATAAAAGTGCAAGCTGTCACCACTAAAAAATAAAAACTAAAATCGTCTATTCCATACCACTACATCCCACATACCAACCTTTCCATCCAACCATTTTCAACATTTTTCTAATCCTATACCATTATCAACCGGTGCAAACCTAGATACCTACATTTCCAAACCAGTTTTCATCCCCGAGCACCTCTACCACGACTTTTTCCCCAATCAAGCACCATAGATTTAATCGAAGGAAACTTTGAAATAATCGAGAGCAACAACAATTTGATCTAATTCCTATGAGTTACACGAAACTGTTCATTCAGTTATTCCAAAAACAATTGGTGGCCTGACTATTCATAGAGCCTTTAAAACCTTTATATTCCAAAGTGGTATGATCTTGAAACTTACTATGACTACCATTATAGGGTTCAGGGCCATTATCTAGAGAATTATACAGCGTTCAAATGTAAGGTACAAAACCTGATTAATAACGAGATTTTGAATTTCACAACAAAGGCTGGACCAAATGTGGGAGCCAATTCGTTGTCCAATCATGATGGAAGATCAATAAATGCTTTAAGTATCAAAACAACTTGAAACATCAAAAGAAAAGTAAGCGAGGTTAGAACCTCTATGGATCAAATATCGTAAAATTTAATTATAATATTTTAGATTGTATCAAATTAAATTCAAATTTAATTAATCACATTTAAAATTTAGTCTAATATATTGATAAATTTGTTTTTTTAACTCATGTCATGTACGAAATTTTTTATTAGATCTTTTTATAATTTAAATTTTTATTTATATTAATTTTCAAGTTTAAATTAGGATAAAATTTATATATTTTGAAAGACTTTGATAAATGTAAATTTTTAAATTTTTAAAATTTGAATAATTAATTAGATTAAAATATTTAGAATTATCTTACATGTCAATAATATAGATTGTCCACCTAAGTGTTAACGTAAACAAATCTTATTAAGTTTTTATGTATTGTAATATAATATTATATATGATATGATATAATATTTTTTAAATTATCTTTTTTAATATAAGATTATTTTTAAGTTTTTGGCATTATTTTCATTAATCAACAAACTTTTTTTTGTGATTAAACAATTTTTTGTTAAATAAACATAAAAAATTCATAAATCATTTTTTAAAAAATTAATTTTTATTAAATAAAAGAAATTTAAGAAATTTAATATTTTATTATTTTAAAAAATTCTAATCTTATTATTTTTTATACTTAATCTTATCATTTAAACAATGATATCATACATAAGGGTATAAATAACATATTAGTACTTGTATGTTACTTAGGTTCGATTCGAATAAAATTCGAATTCGACTCGATTATTATCGAGTCGAGCTTGAACTCAAAAAATTTAACTTATCGATCGAGTTGAGTTCGAATATTCTTATATATAATTCAAGTAATTTACGAGTTTAATCGAGTTTTTATATTTTAATATATATCAAATTCGAGCTGAAACTTGAATACAAATAATTATATTTTTATCAAATATAATAATTAAATTTAATCGCAAGAGCTTGGTAGCTTAATTTCTATTTCAATTCAAATTCAAATTAAAAAATAAAATTCGATCAAATTTTAGTCGAATTTTAAATTTTAAATTTCGAGTCAAATTTAAATTTATTATTATATTAATTCGAATTCAAATTTTAAATCTTAAATTTTGAATCAAATTTAAACTTAAACTTATTATTATATTAACTTAAATTCGACCGCTCATATCTCTAACTATATATTAAGTAAATGGGCTAAATACTCTGATAAGATCTCTTGTTCTGTCAGTCTCAGCTGGCATTTATGGTAGTGAGAAACAATAAAATATTTAGTTAAGGGCATATGTGACATAACGACAAATTGTTTGGCCAGTCAAACAGAAAACCTGAAAAAGGAGAGGCTAAATCAAAATTAAAATACACATAGAGGACGTAAATGAAAAATCGTGAAAATCATTATCCTCATCATTATTAACTTTTTGGGACTTAAAATCTCATTTACCACCACTCCCCCACTCCCAGTTTTCGCTCCCCCCTCTCGCTCTCTCTCTCTCTCCCCTCAGCTGCTTGTTTCTCGTTCTCTCTCTTCCGGAATCGAAGCACATAAATGAATCAGAATTAAATAAGCTTGATTCGAGTCCGACACCCGTAGTCGGTGGCGAGAGAAAGGTTTTTTTCTTTTTTTTTTTTTTCCGTTTCCAGAACGAAAAAAATCTAAAGCCAAAAACCAAAAAATATATATATATATTATTATTATAATATTTAGTTTAAAAGTGGATCAGACAAAAGGAATATTTACAAAAAATTTTTATATTGATATAATATTTTAATATTAAATATTATTATTAAAATATAATTATTCCTAAATATTAATAATTTTAATATATTTTAATAATACATAATTTATAATATTTTAATAATAATTAAAATTATTTAAAAAAAATAAATTTTTTAAAAAATAATCAAACAACAAAAAAATATTTTTCATTATCTCATCTAAACAACAAAAAATTTTTACTTTTTCAAAAAATACAAACATTTTTCAGAAAATATTTTACAAAAGTCAATTTCTACTAAAAAAACTGAAATCTAAATCTACTTCTCATATTAACAATTTTATCTTCAGGTTGGTGAAAATGGTGATAACCCGGCTTGGGAAGCTATTGGTTATAATGTAGACAATGTTGAGAATCTGTCTCAAGTAACGAAGGCGAGGCCTCTCAAAAAAGGAATGATTGAGACAATGCATGAAAAAGACTTAACTCTCCCTCAATCCCTATCACAGAAAGGGCTCCAAGTTATAGAAGATACCAAAAAAAAAGCCTACAAAATCAAATGCGATGCAGTAATAGTCGGATCTGGATGTGGCGGTGGTGTTGCAGCCGCAATGCTGGCCAGTTCTGGCCTTAAGGTCGTTGTTGTAGAGAAGGGTCGCTATTTTAGTTCGACAGATTATTCCCCCTTCGAAGGGCCCTCGATGGCTGAACTATATGAATCAGGGGGAATCCTTCCAAGTATTGATGCGCAGATGCTGCTTCTTGCAGGATCGACAGTCGGTGGTGGCTCAGCTGTCAACTGGTCTGCATGCATCAAAACACCAAAATCCATACTAAAAGAATGGGCTGAGGACTGCCAAATCCCTCTTTTTGGGAGCCCTGAATATCTTTCAGCCATGGACACTGTTTGCAAGAGAATTGGTGTCACAGAAGATTGTAAAGAGGAGGGGTTTCAGAATCAAGTACTTCGGAAAGGATGCGAAAATATTGGTCTTGAAGTTGAGAAAGTGCCACGGAATTCCTCAGAGAGCCATTACTGTGGATCTTGTGGTTTTGGTTGCAGAAGAGGAGACAAGAAAGGGACTGACCGTACATGGCTAGTTGATGCTGTTAACAATGATGCAGTGATTTTAACAGAATGCAAGGCCGAGAGATTCATATTAGAAAAAACCAAGATAGGCAGTACAAGGAAAATGAAGTGCTTGGGTGTAATTGCAAAAACTTCAAACCAAAATATCACAAAGAAACTGCATATTGAAGCCAAAGTAACAATATCAGCATGTGGGGCACTTTTGACACCCCTTATAATGCATTCTAGTGGGTTGAATAATCGAAATATTGGTCGAAATCTTCATCTCCACCCAGTCCTAATGGCCTGGGGTTACTTTCCTGACTCCGATTCAGAGTTCAAGGGGAAAGCCCATGAGGGTGGAATAATCACATCAGTACATAAGGTGGTAGCAACAGACAACAAAGTGCAAGCCATCATTGAAACCCCTTCAGTGGGGCCAGCACAATATGCTGCTTTATGCCCTTGGGAGTCTGGTCTCGACATGAAAAGAAGGATGCTAAAATTTTCCAGAACAGCTCATATGATAACAATAATAAGGGATCAGGGATCTGGAAAAGTTCACACAGGGGGACGGGTAACCTATAAGTTTGACGCATTGGACAGACAAAACATTCTAGCCGGGTTGAGACAGTCGTTGAGGATTTTAGTAGCAGCTGGGGCAGTTGAGGTGGGCACTCATCGTAGTGATGGACAGAGAATCAGATGTAAGGGATAAGCAACGAGGAGTTAGAAGAGTTTTTAGACTCAGTTTCTTCAGTAGGAGGCCCAATGTTCCCTGGAGAAAACTGGGTCCTCCACTCTAGTGCTCACCAGATGGGCAGCTGTAGGATGGGGATCACTGAAAAGGAAGGTGCAGTTGATGAGAATGGTGAGAGCTGGGAAGCTGAAGGCTTGTTTGTTTGCGATGCAAGTGTTCTGCCAAGTGCTATTGGTGTAAATCCCATGATCACTGTTCAGTCTACTGCTTATTGTCTCTCAAAGAGAATAGCAGAGTCTTTAAAACCAAAAACAGCCTTCTGAATTATATTAATCCCTCATCAACAACCTGAAAATTGATGCCTTTTTATATATTTGTATGTGTGCATTGTAATGAAGGATAAGAAACAGAAATGATGGAAAAGTGTGTAAAAAAATTGCTGATATATAGCATAACAACAGAAAAGGTTGACATTAATTATACAATTTATTTATCTAAAGTTTATAACCAATTTTTATAGTATCCAGAAATAGGCAAGGAAAAGCATTTTAGAGATGGAGGACATATATAGCTCAGATGCATAGAACATAGAACATCAATGCCAAGTTGCATCAGGCGATAACTTTCACTATAGTTTAGGTGCAAAGTGCAAATTCAGCATTTTTCTGCTGTGGTAATTCCAGCTTTCAGGATGCTGAAGACCTTTAAATACATTCAGCATAAAAAATAAGGCTAAAGAACTTAAAGCCATGAAGGCAAATGAACCCAAAAGTCAAAAGTTAAATTGTAACCAACAATTCCATTAAACAAGATCCTCCAAATCTCTGAAAATGATCGTAACATATAATTCTTGAACATATGAAAGTTTCTACCTTTTCAATTCAATGCAATTCATGTAATTCACTTGTGAAAAAATATATAGAATTTAATTGAATTATATAGTTTTTAAGGGGCAGAAAAAATAAAAAAAATTCCAAACAATTTCTTTTGCAGGAAAATGAACAGAGAAGAACAAAGCGGGTTCACAAAGGTTAAATTTCAGCGAGTCCGAACTCAGAAGTAGTCATTTTTACCCGATTTTGCATATGGGTTCCAACTCTAATCGGCCCATTTGGCGTCAGCTGAGCAGAGCTGACAGCAAGGGAGAAATTGCTGTACAATACCCTGATTTTTACATCAAAGATTGTTGCATATTTTTGTTTCAATCATTGGCGAATAGTGCAACATTCTCATTAACAATAATTTGGAAAAGCTGTACAAATAGGATAAATTAGAAAATTTATTGTGCTTGATGTTGGATTTAGAGCAGTTGCTTCATATATCAATCATTCCCGTCATTATACAGACTGTCTACTATACATTTCAAGCTTCAAAAAAAAATTAAACTTCATTCTTCATTACCCAACAAAGAATAGAGGGAGAGAAAAAAATGCATTTGGGATTGGCTAAGAAGTCAGATTGATTCACATATCAGCAAATCCGAATTAGAATTGCCATTTTTTTGCTGGTACTTTTCTTGCACTTGGAGCTCTACAATTTGGATTGGATTTGTGAATGATGATGGGGGAGATCTTCCACAATGTTCTACCAAAATGTGGAAACCTGGAGTCTTCTTTTATTTTGATAACTGAGGTTACTAGGATTTGAACTCTGATCACTGGAATTAAGATAAGAGTCCGGTAATCTACGAAGAAGCCGGGGGCTGTTGGCATCTTTTTTTATAGATGGTAACAAAACTGAAGAAGGATATTAGTTGCCCTCTACGTCAGCTTGGGTCAGGGACTTCCCTGAATTTAACAATCTTTTCAGCCGTCAGAATCTGTCTCACGGAATGGCAATGGAACAGTCTTTACTGCCCGAAACTTGCCAACATTGTTTAGATGTTCATTCTCCAACCTGCTCAGTAACAGTTTCTTAGAAGACTTCATTCAAGATTCATATGGCTTGTTTTGGAAATTGGGATAGAAAATACCTATAAAAATTCCAATGCCCTCGTCGGATGACCTCTAGGGAAGCCAAGAAGAAGTCTAGCAAATTTGTCTGAACTGGATTGACATGAAACCTCAGGATGCTCTCTATCCAAGCTACTCTTAGAACTACATTCAAGGCCTACAATTATAGAATTGTGTCATTAAGAACTTAAATGGAATATAACAAGAAAATGGTACCAAAATTGACTGAGGTAAGGAATATAACTTACAATGGACAGGTAGTAAATGCTCTTATTCTTTAGAATTAGATCATCTCTAAGCCAAGGGTTTCTGGAATTAGGATTAAGAAGTCCCCAATCCTTGACAAAATCCCAATATAATTGGTAAACTGTAGCCACGACTGAAGTCACCAAGACTACAGAAAACCACAGGTGGTTACTCTGTGTGGCATATGTTAGCCTGGCACCAGCTGCCACCATGGCAGAAACATACTTCCCCATGTTAACCAAGTGGTCCAGGTCATATTCATCAAACCATCTTCTTGCACACTTGAAATTAAATTGAAAAAAAGAAAGTGTTAGTTGGACAAGCTTTTCAACTTTAACAAAAACAGAATAAATAAAAACCAAGAAACTTATGCCATCTAATGTGTTTTAGTACTGGTAATTGTGCAACTCCATGGGAACATAACAAATGCGGCCAATAGCTGTGTGATCTGTTGGTGGAGCACTGACCTCTTAGTTTCAGTGATCAGGGTTCAAATGCTGATAACCTCAAATATATAAAAAGAAAAAAGAAAATAACAAATGCGAAGGGTTCCATGAAGTGTTTTAGCACTGGTAATGTGTTTTAATACCTGCGTGGCTCGCCAATAATATGGCAAAAATGAGATGACATAAGCAAACTGTCTGTACAGCTTTCCATTTTTGCATGTAGCATATTCATGGGTTTTGAAACTTCCAGCAAGAAAGTAGCAGGCTGTTGATTCCAAGTGTCTTAGCAATGGAATCTGAAATAAAAATAAGAGATAATGATTGATGACGAAATATTGTAATTGATATGAGGAGAAAATGAAACTGAAAAAACTATGAACTGTTAGAAATTTAATTAGCCTCCAAGGAGAAGGAAGATTAAATACTACAATGATTCGGAAATGACTGCTAAATCTATTCTGTCTTAGCATACGTTGCTTGTGTTTGAATAATTTACCTGACTAGTAAGTTGATCAGCCATGAAAAAGTCTACCATCAAAACCTGCATATATGTAAAATAAGCCAAACCAAGAATATGTTCAGTTACAACATTTGAAACCTTAAACAAAACCAATTCAAAAAAAAAAAAAAACAATGATGGCAACAAGTATGCAAGTAAAAAATTACCTTATAAAATGGAGAGCATATTATGTTCCGTATTATACGAAGGAAGCAAAAGCGAGTTGGCCGATAAAAGATGTCAAATGGGCATACCAGCAATGCAATGAAAATCTGATATTGAGATTGAAAATCAGTACAAAGTCATACTTCATTTTTTTCTTTTATTTTTTTTATGAGGATGGATAGACACGGTATAGAAATAATGGAGTTGTATAACCAACCAGGAGGAGAATTCCAGGAATAGTGTCAACACGAGTAGGAGAAAAGCCTCCAGCCCTTAATAGGAGGTGAATGATCATAGCCCCAACAACAGAAGTCATGAAAGTGGTACAAATGAGGAATGCATCTCTATATTTAAGGGCTGTGCTTGGTGCAAACTCAAAAATGAAGTTGTAGTTTATTCTTGTACTCTTCCACATGAACAAGTTGCACCCATACAAAAACAAGTGCAAGCTTATCAACGCAAATACACTGCCAACAAAAAAAAAATGAAAGTTTCCAATTAGTAATTGCAACCAAACTTGAAATTCATGTTAGCAGGCTTGGCTGCACTGAGAGTCCTCTTGGATGTTCTGTTCTGTTGCAGAACACCCAGTGCATTTGACACATTCATATTTTAGCTACATGCTTTCCTGGTCGCTAACTGACTATATTATATATGTGATAACTGAAATTACATGCAATGTTAAAATGGTAAAAATTGGAGAGAGGCAAATGTAATATGAGCACCTGAAAACAGGGTAGACAGTTTCCAGATAAGCTGTTTCTGTGCTAGGTGAAAATATACCAGACAAGTGTGCCAATATTAAATATACACTAAACAGTGATACAAAACAACCTGTAAACAATCCTGCAAAAAAAAAAGAAAAAAGAGGAAATTCAGTGAATAGTGACAATAAAATTTCTTAAATTGTCAGCCTCATTTTGCCTTTTGGCCCCAGACCCATATACATAATTGATCATCATATTACAGAAGATGATTTATTTTCATTTTACAGGATTAAAGTAATGGTTTTCTTGGCCAAGTGATCAATCACATCATGAATGTTGAATTTTACATAATAAAGTGATTATGTTATTGTCATTAAGGAGAAAACGCAATGATTCTCTTCATAGAATTTCGGTTTACAATTTATCAGTCATTGGGCCAAATGAAAGTAATTAGACATTTTGCTACCATAGAGTACTTTTTAGTTCTGTTATTTATTCTCAGTCAACAGTATATATAAATCAAATGTTTCAGTGCATTAGAGCACTCAACAACAATCAACCAAGCATATGTATGGTTTTTAAAATGGAAAATGCAGAGGTAAACCGATTGTTTTGATTTCTTGGAGGAAAAAAAAAAGAGTTATACCAACAAAGAAGGTGACCATGTGAGAATCTTTCTGCTGCTGTGGTCTCAAGAACTTCATTGCCTTTTTCCTGTCATTGTTGGCAAAGTGCTTTGTGAACATGGACTCCACTTCATCCATTAGCCTAACAACCTAATTGATTACCAAACCAAATAAAATTCATTATAAATAACAATTAGAAACCATACATCCTTCATTCTCTAATAATTAATCACAAAAAGGTACAAAGAAATGGCAGTAAATTGCCAAAGTTGTGCGGCTTGCCGGTAAATGCTAGATTTTTAATTTTAATGATCAGGGTTCAAATTTTAACAATCTACAGTACTAAAAAATGAGTGTGATTACATGATCCAAAGTTC